CTCGTGAGGGTTTCTAGAAATGCTACTCATAAACATTAAATGCTTATCTTCATTAAAAAAATATTAAAGCATATTTCCATAATAATTAATAGAAGACTACCTCAAGTATACAAATTTCAGCCAATTTTAAGCTTTTCTCAATATTTCAACATCATGCAAGCAAATATAATTCCCACATATCAAATAAGTCAATCATGGCCATCAAATTAATTCTAGCATCCTTTTTGAGTGAACTGGCATCTAAATATGTTACTATCTTAGCATAGTTAATGTAAAGATCACAATCCGACCTCAAACTAACACATATCTTAAATAACAATAATTAAGATTACAAATGAAAGTTTTATTCAAAAATAAATTTTATTTTTTATTATTATTTTTTTAGATATGGGATCAAAGATAAGAGTATGGTGCAATGTAAGATCTCTTAAGATCTCTAGAAGACTTGTGTAACGAGCATTGGGTCAATGGCTCCCAAACCGGATAACTTTAGGGCATTAGGTGTTAAGACATCCCTAAAAAGTTACTAGCTCAAATCAATTAGGCTACAAATCAAGATAACTCTCACTTTTCATTTCCCAACTCTTCACCTCTTTTGGTGAGAGCGCTCAATTTTTTTTTTTTTTGGGTCCTTCACCTTTTGACTTGAGAATTCAATGCTTAATAAGGTAAGAATCTCGGTTACGTAGCAAAAATGATTATTATTTAGCATGCAAGGTCATTATACCAAGAATGATGACTCCTTAAAGTCTACTAGCTCAAATGAGATATAACCAAATAATGATCATCTAAGCATGTACCCCACAATTTGAATGCTAGTGTACACCTGTGCAAATGTAGTACTCTAGAATCAATCATCAAAGCATTTTAACAAGGAAGATGATGTGGACCACAAAAGCAAGCATGATATCAAAATTTTAAAATTTTCCCCTAAATGGCATTAAGCATACAAGAAGTATTAGACTCTCAAAAATTGCCATTTTAAGGCAATATCTATGCTTCAAAAGATCAAAATCATAGCCAAAGTGGTTTTTAATTCTCAATCATGCAATTAAAGCTCAAAACTTAAATAGAATGCACAAAGCTACCTTATACCCCCAAACTTAAACTGTTCATTGTCCTCAATGTGCAATGAGGACAGAAAAAAGATAGAGGGAATATACTAAAGTGCAAAAGCCTATGAAGTCCGGTAACGAAAAGATCCAATTTAAAAGAAGACACCCCCAAACTTGGAATCAAAAACTTGCCTGAAAGAACCACATTAGCACAACTCTCATCAATATCAATATGGAATAAGGATAAGCAAATAATATACTTTAAGGTAATATAGAACAAGATGAAAAAGAGAGATGTGAATAAGCCTTGGATAAAACATGAAAGTATGAAAGATGATACATGAATGCACACAAGGAAAAAAATGTTTAAACGTATTATTTTTTTTTTCAAACTCAATCGATTGACGATCAATAGAGCTTCCAATTTTTATTTATTTATTTATTATTATTTTTTAAACTCAATTGATCGAGTTTCACTCGAACGGTGGAGTTGAGAGCATGATTTTTAAGGCTCAAAATTTTTTCTAAATGTTGGGATGCTCGATCAATCGAGTGAAAAACTTGATCGATTGAGCTTCCAAATTTTTTTTAATTTTTTAATTTTATTTATTATTATTATTTTTTAGCCAATGAAAGCATAAATTATGGAACTAAATGCAAAATATAAAAGAAAAACAAAGAAACAAAATGCAAGTAAACCAAACTACGGAAATGAAAATGCTTATGAAAACCTAAAAAGTCTAAGTCATAAAAGAGATACGATGTGTCTCGTGGATGCTAAGTTTAACGTTTCTAGTAAGATGGGATGTTACTTTCTATACCGGATCCAACAATTTTATTGACTCCTTCCTCACCATGGCTTTAAGAGTATAGTGATGCTTGAGAGCCCTAGGTGGAAGATTAGGCAAAAGACGTGGTTTATGAGGAGGGTGATGTGTGTCATTATTGTCCGCCATTAGAATTAAAGAGTGATAACAACAAAACCCATCAAAGAAACAACAACATCAACAACACAATTAATCCATATACATTGATCCCATCCTCCTCAAATCAACAAAAGAAAAATAAAAACAAAAGTAAATGACCACAACAAGGGCCAATTATTGAACAAGAACAATAAAATAAAACTAAAAAGTGCATAACATTGAGTTCAAGATAAGTTCACAAAGGTCCCAAGCAAAGCAACGATCCCCAAGCTTTCCCCTCTCTCGATCAAGTACCTAGAATTGCACAAAAACAAATAATAAGCAAAATATATACACAAATCCTAAACTATCAAATAATCACTAATGTTAAATTGAATCAATTAAACCATAGTCCCCGGCAACAGCGCCAAAAACTGACAGGTCTTTGCGAGAGGTCGCTTCACAAGGCCTATATGAATGTAGTTTAAGCTTTGAATAGTGAGCAGGGATCGTTCACAGGGACTGATGTCTTGAGTCAATTTAAAATTAGTGAATAAATGATTTAAAAGAAAAGATAAGTTGTTTAAAATCATAATTAAACTAAACAAAATAACAAATACAAATAAAAGAAAAGATAAATGGATAACAGAATGGAGATATTGAGGAACTTAGGTCATATAATCCACTTTGGCCTTGTAATTGTACCATTGCAATCAAATTGGAGAAAATACTTGTGTAATAACAGAATTGTTGCTACAAGCACACAATCATGGTAAAGAGAATATGTAAAATGCATCAATAAGCATAGCTCATCAAATTTAAGTATGAATTGTTTACCTACCTACTTCTACACTAATATTGTAGCACAACCTATCAAATCTAAGCATGAACTATCAAATTAATTATAATTACATCAATTAAGCACTATTGTTTAACCATTATCCACACAACTACAAGAAGTGAAGATGTTGAGATCAATCGACCATAATCAATGCATAAGACAATGTAATGATCATAAAAAGACTAATGGAAGAATTAAACACTACCAATCTCGGTACAACCAAGTATAATTCATAAGGTTAAACAATCTACACAAATAAATCCCAAATTGAAGACAAATAATACAATACTTGGCTTAGGGCTCCATCCAAGCCCCAAGAGAAGAAATCGATAGCCATAGAGATGACAAAGATGAACATTGGAGCTCCAGTCTCGACTTCTAAGCACAGCCCAAGATGTTCATGGGGGAAAAGAGGGTTTCTAGAGAGAGAAAGTCTTCAAAGCTTGGCCTCTCATCAACTCCAACCCGCATCCTCCTCCAAATAATGCTTCATCCTCTACCTATGAAGCACGGACACTCCTCTCAAGGGTCACGTACCAGTGTCGGACACTTTTCGGACACCGACACGGGTATCCGAGGCTCGGACACGTGTCCGACACTTCTGTGGAGTGTCCAGAAATAATTTTTTATTGGACACGGCTCGGACACGCGGCGGAAATGGCACGGACACGCGGCGGAAATGGCTTGGACACGCGGGGGACACGACGGGGTTTATTTTGTAATTTTTTTAAAGATAAAAGGATACCTAATGTAATTTACTAATTTTAGAAGTTAAAAGTAAAATTTTGAAAAAATATAAAACAACTACATACTAAAGACTACACAGTAAAATTCTAAATGTCGTAGATACATCATCGGTTTTGTCTTCTGTGCCCTAGACCCAAAATTCCCAAATCCTCCGTTCCTTCGCCGATTGCCCAAGGCGATTCCTCTCCTTAGATGCGACTATGAGCTCAGCGACAACAACTCTTCACCAGATTTTTCGTCTCTCCGGTGTCTACTATGGCGACCCCACCAAGTAGGTTTCTTTTCTCTCACTTCCTCTCTCCTCTTCTTCAATTAGACCTCTGTAACGTACATGAAATATATATATATATATAAGTTACATGTACAAGTTGTACAACAGTACAAGACTTTGTGAAACTGAAAGAGAACTAGATAAGCAATTTACCCGGAAAAAAAAAAAAAAATAGCTTATTATTCAATACGTTGACATCTCCCAAATTATAATGTTATATAGCATGATGATTCATGAGATATGATATAAGTTAAAGAATAATAAAATCAGGGAACATATTCCATTTCATGGAATATATTAGTCAAATTATATGTGGTTCTTTGAAAATGAATGCATCAGTTCATTAGTTATAAGTTATAACAAAGATAAAATTATTAAAATTAGTCTTGTTATTTGTTGTAGTTTTATTTGCAATTTTGTATTTATATATAACTGTTTGTTATTAGGAAAATGAATGTGCAAGGTTCTAGCAGTGGGGTTGAACCTGATGATAACACCCCTCTCTAGAAATTTGTTAAAAAGTTTGATAAGGTTGGGGGAGGAGGGGGAAATATAAAATTTCAATGCAATTATTGTCAAAGGAATTTTAAGGGATCATACTATAGGGTGAAAGCGCATTTGCTAAAAATCTCGGGACATGGCATTCAAGCATGTAAAAAAGTGACTAATAATCATATAGCTAAAATGCAAAGGTTAGTTAATGAAGCTGAAATAAGAATTAAGAGAAAGATGCCAAAACAGGTTCTTTTGCCACCTTCCACAAAGTCAAGCAAAGCTGGATCTTCATCAAGTGCAAATGTAAGCACGGGAGGTGGGCCATTTATGCTTGATGTTTTAAGAAAGAGGAAAACTAGTTCGGCAATTGAAAAAACATTTAATCTTGGAGTTCGTGATGAATTGCATAATGAAATTGCAAGAATGTTTTACTCGGCCGGTTTGCCTTTTCACCTTGCAATGAACCCACACTATGTTGCCTCCTACACTTATGCCTCTAATAATAGTATTAGTGGCTATATTCCTCCCGGTTACAACTTGTTGAGGACTACTCTTCTTCAAAATGAAAGAGCAAACATAGAGAGTTGATGATTCCAATTAAAGATTCTTGGAAGGAAAATGGTGTTACTATTATTTGTGATGGATGGATGGATCCACAAAGGAGGCCAATCATCAATTTTATGGCTATGAGTGTAAATGGGCCTATGTTCTTGAAAGCGGTAAATTGTGAAGGTGAATTCAAAGATAAATTTTTCATCTCGGAGTTAATCAAGGAGACCATTCAAGAGGTTGGACCCGATGATGTGGTCCAAGTTATTACCGATAATACTCCTGTTTGTAGGAGTGCAGGATTGCTTGTTGAAGTCCAATTTCCAAAACTATTTTGGACTCCTTGTGTGGTTCATACCCTCAACCTTGCTTTGAAAAATATTTGTGCGGCCAAAAATAACGATGCCAATGAAGTTGTTTTTTTAGAATGCCATTGGATTACAACTATTATCGATGATTGTATGTTTATTAAAAATTTTATAATGAATCATTCCATGAGATTGGCAATGTTTCATGAAAATGTGAAATTAACCATGCTTTCTATTGCGGATACACGTTTTGCTTCAATGATTGTGATGCTAAGAAGATTTAAGCAAATAAAATGTGGTCTCCAAGAAATGGTGATGAGTGATTTTTGGACATCTTATAGGGAAGATAATGTTCAAAGGGCTTTAACTGTCAAGACAAAAATAGTAAGTGATGATTGGTGGCGAGATATTGATTACATAATTAACTTTACTGAGCCAATCTATGACATGCTTAGGAGGGCCGATACGGATATTCCTTGTCTTCACTTGGTGTATGAGATGTGGGACTCCATGATAGCTAAAGTGAAGGCCGCTATTTATCATCATGAAAGAAAGCAAGAGCATGAGGAGTCTCCATTCTTTTTGGTGGTGCGCGAAATATTAAATGCTAGATGGAGTAAGAGCAACACACCCCTTCATTGCTTTACACATTCCTTGAATCCAAGGTAATTTTTAATATTTTATACATTTTTTAGGTTCTAATTTGAATTTTTGTCAAATTAACTTTTAGCTATCATTTTGTCACTTCTAAGTTTTATAGCACACAATGGCTTCAAGAGGCTCCCAATCGTGTTCCTCCACATAGAGATCAAGAGATTTCAAGTTTAAAAGAAAATTGCTTCCAAAGGTACTTTACTAATGATATGGAGAGAAGGAAGATTAAAGAAGAGTATGCTTGTTTTTCGGTGGGTTTTAGAGAGTTTGGATCGGTTGATTCCTTGAATGATAGAGGGCTTATGGAGCCAGCAATTTGGTGGGTTTCTTATGGAGCTTCAACACCCCTCACCCAATCTTTGGCTTTGAAGGTACTTGGACATCCTTATTCCTCCTCATGTTGTGAGAGGAATTGGAGTACATATTCTTTTATCCAATCTTTGAAGAGGAACAAGATAGCACCATAAAGAGCCGAAGATTTGGTATTTGTACATTCCAATCTTCGTCTTTTATCAAGGAGAACTCCACAATATAATGTGGGTGAAACTAAGATGTGGGATGTTGGGGGAGATGCATTTGATTCATTAGAAGGTAGTGGAATACTTGAGATTGCAAATCTTTCACTTGATGAACCGGACTTGGAGGCCATGATATTTACCGATGAGGGAGATGGAAATGACGATGAGTTTCTAGAAGATCTAACTTAATGAAGAGGATTATAGAGTTCCTTTTATTTTTTGGGCTCACTGTTATCAACTAATCACTGTTCAGTTTTTTTTATTTTTTGAATAAGTAAACTGTTCAGTTATTATTCGTATGAATCTTATGTGATCAGTGGCCAATGATGAAAGATGCATATATTATAGATTTTTGGTTATTGAACTTATGACTTTTAGGTGATAAATTATTTGCTTGGTTCTTAAATGCTTAGAAGATGAATTGTGAATTTTGAATATATATATATATATATATATATATATATATATATATATATATATATATATATATATAATTTTATAGCCGTATCCCCGCCGTGTTCGTGTCCTTTTTTTTTTTTTAAATTTGCCGTGTAGCCGTATCCGTATCGTGTCGTACCCGTGTCCCGTGTCCGTGTCCGTGCTTCATAGTCCTCTACATATTCTCGGATTTGTGACTCTAGGATGGTCAGAACTCGGCCCAATTGTAATGACTCGGTTATTTTCCTTCCTCTCTTTTTTCCTGAAATTTTATGGATGAATTTTTTCCGTTTAGTTTTCTTTTTTCGAGTTCTATTTCTTGTCATTTAGTGTCATCTCGAGTGCCTGGAATTGGTTTCCAAGACTCTTTCGTTCGGATTGCCAACTTCCTTTGAGGACCGAGTCATTTCCACATTTTTCGTTTTTTGACACTATTCACTTTTCGTCTTTTTTCCTGTTTCGTCGTCTTCCCTATTTTGTCTTTTCCCCGTTTGTTACTTTTTATGCTCGAAGTTGATTTCCAGCTTCACTTATCTTCATTATATATAGTTTTCACGAAATACGTATTTTTACTTTTGCAAGAAAGTACTTTAGTTGCTCTCAGTGTCCATAGGGGCATGGATGCATAGTTTTCCAGAATCCTTTTCTTTTCTTGGGGTGTTTTTCGTAAATATCTTTTGAAGATATTTTATTTCAGGGGTTTTTAAGAAAATATTTTTGGAAGATATTTTCATTCTGGGGCAGTTGTGCAGTTTTCACTTTTTGGAGGGGCCATTGTGTAATTAATGAAAGTTATTGCAAAATACCTCGTTTGGAGTCTGGATCCTTGAACGGGATTCATTTTCACATTTCATCGAGTCGTGTACTCTTAAAATTTCCTTCTAGTCGTTTTTATCCAGTTTCAGGGTTTTTGGCTCTAGTTGCCGCCGAACTTGTTCGGGGCATAACTTTCTACTCGGGACTCAGTTTTTGACCCTGTTTCCTTCGTTGTTCATATTTTCTCATTTTGAATCTTTTTCATTCACAGAGTTTCACCGTTTGAGTGCGTCTGCTCAAATTTCACTTTTCCGGACCCGGCGGGGCACTTTTAGGGTTTTTCTATAAATAGGGGACTTAAAGAAGAAAAATCAGATTTTTCTCTTCTTCTTCCTCTCTTGGCTGGCAGCCATGGATGTCCATGGGGCTGCCACTTTCTCTCTCCTCTTTTGAGCTCCTTCTTTTTGTTAAAACATCGTAGTGCCTTAGTGTTTAATGTTTGTCGTGACGGCACGCATCTTTCGCACGTATCTTTCACCCTTATTAGAATCCATTTTTGACCATTTTTCAAGTTCGGGTTTGAGGTCAAGTTATGACTTTCATGGGGCTTCTTTGGGATTCTTGTTCACGGCGTTGTCCCCAACAAAACCCCGAAGTATTATCGGATTCGGAGCCGTTTCGTTTTGGTGGCTTTTGAGATTTTCATCTCAAATTGAGGTAGGGGGTGTTATAATTTATTATTCTTGACGTATAGCTTGTTATTGATGCTTATACAAGTTGTATGCATGCTTTAATTTAAGTTCTAGAATTTAATTTAATTATTTTCTTAGTCTAAGATTTAATTTCCATGATGATATGAAACTTGGAATTAATTGTGGCATGCTAGAAAACTAGGCCTTGGTATGGTTGTTGACTAATATTAAATTTGGATCATTTGATTAAGAATTATAAAATTTATTTAATATTTATCTTTTGTGAAAGTTTAATTCACATGGTTATAGCAAGCATGAAATTAAGTTGTAATGTGACATTTAAATAGACCTTGGCATGTTCCTTAACATACTTTAATTTGAGAGCATTTGGATAAGTTTAAAAATCTATAGATTTTAATTAAAAGAATTAATTAAAATCTACTTAATTAAGTTTTTGACTTAGCAATTGTGATGACTAAGATTTGTATACTAACATATATTAATTTGGGGCCATTTGAAGTTGTTTTAGGAGTTAGAGATTTAATTATCATGTTATAATTAAATTTTACCTTATTGTTTCAATGACCTAATTAAGTTTTGATTTGGTATATGTAATGACCATGCTATATTGTTTAACATGTGTTAATTAGGAATCATTTATTTGAGAATTGAAACCTAAGAAAATTAATTAGTTTATTTACTTAATTTTCTTTTCTATTGCATTAATGATATAATCATGTACTTGACGTTGGTAGTATGTTTAAATCATGATTTTGGACTTGTATTAAATTGATGAATTTATGATTTCAATGTTGAGATATTTTGTTATAGCGTGTAACGAATCGCACACTGAAGATTCGAAATTTGTCTTGCCTCAGTAGTTGTGGACTTAGAGCATGTATTGTATGTGTTTCCAAATTCGGTTGTGCATGGTAGATAGTTGATTATCTTATATATATATATACATTATTGCATAACTTGTTGATTTTGGAAACTTGGGGATGTTGTTGTTTGGCTACGGCTAGGACTTGGTTCTAGTACGGGGGATTGTCCCTCTATATAGTCTAGTGCGCACATAGGGAGGTTTACCATGGGCTAGTAACCTAAAGTAACTATAGTATTGGTCTAATCCAGCGTAACGTCCAAGTATCCACTTTGGTTGATTTCATATTTCATTTCAAGTTGATAACTACATGATATCGTAACTTGTTGTTCCTTAATTGTTTTCCCATTTTAAGTTTCAAGATGTTAACTTTGAGAAATCATGATTTATGTGTTGTATTGGAAGTTCCAATATTGGTTAAATTGCATCAATATCATAATTTGTGTTTTGATGTTCAAATGCAGCTTAGGAATGATCCTATAGATTCATTGGAATATAGACGTTAGGTGAAATGATCCACTTTAGTTGTTTTCGTATTTTAGATTTCAAGTTGAGGACATGGAGAATCTATATCTAGTTGCTTTGTATAGCATGCCCTTGTATTGTTTAAATTGCATGGATGATATGATTTATGCTAGAAATACTCTAAGGTAGCTTATGATGCTCCCTGAGTCTCATCTTGACATAGACGTTAGTTGGCATGACCCCTTTTGAATTGTTTTATGTTAGTCTAAAAATCTGAAAGAAATCGAGTCTATGCATGCTCATTCTCTACAAGTAAACTTGTTTACTCACCCCGAAGTTACTGGGGGATTTGTTCAGGTACGAAGACTTGGTTCGTGATGCTTATTGCTCCTTAGATGGCTTGTAGATTTCAGGTTTCCATTTCATGCAAATGTTAGCATGGAATGCCATTTTGTAACCTTGTATATCAAAACTTGTATCTTTAATTCCATATATGTAAAGTGCACATAAGTACACTTTTTTCGATGTATTTAACATGTATAAGATTAGGCCGAAGGCCAATGACATGTATCTTGTATTCCATACATTTTTGTTTTCAAGGTTCACTGTGGAGATATTGAAAAATGTTAAGTCTTTACTTTATAACTTTTGCATCGGGCGTGGGAATTCCATTCCTTTTCTTTTATAGGGTCTCTATGATCATGTATGAGGTGTGGCCAAGGGTCAAACACCATTTCGTTCTAGGTTTTGCATTTTGGTTTTGTTTATAGCATTTTAAGGCATTTTTGGCCGTTGAGAGGTCATATTTTGCATTGTGGTTATTTTGAAGCCGCGGACCATTGGGACGTGTCTTAAATGTCTTTTTATGTTTGCGTGCATTTCCATATTTTACAAAACTCTTAGTTTTAACTTTGGAACTATTTTTGAGCTATTTTATGAATTTTCATGAAAATTCATGCTTTGGGACATCATTTTAAGTTCTTCCTTGTTTTAACATGTTTTGAACGCTCGTACGAGGTTAGGAAATGTTTTCAAACTTGTTCGGATCAAGTAGAATGCATGTAGAACCCTAGGATTGGCCCAAGTACCTTACGCACACATTGCAACAGCTTTTTCTGCTGCAGCAGATGTGTGGGTCGGCTGATGAGAGTCCATCAACCGGCTGACAAGCCTCGAGGGTCCATTTCAGTAGCCTTTTGGTGAAAAATGGCATTTTAGTCAGCTGACCATGGGGGTTGACCGGCTGATGATGCTCTTTCAGTCGGCTAATTCTTGTCGTCGGTCGACCGATCCTCCCTGGAACTTCTTCACTTCAATTTTCTTGAGCAACCTTCTTGCATCAACTTCAGAGAAACATATCTCTTTCATTTTAAATCCAAACCGGGTCGTTCTTGAGTCTAAATTCAAGAGCTTGAAATTAGTTTTCCAGTGGTACCAACCACTCATCAAAACTCCACCTATAATGTGAGTTATTCTAGTTTTAGTAAGATAGGTTTGTGGTAATCCTTAAACAGAGAAGACCACTTTGTTTTAAATTCATAACTTTTCCGTCCGGACTCCGAATCAGGCGATTCTTGAGTCTAACTATGTTCATTTTTTGTTGTCTTTCCAATGGTGTGCATGGTGGCACCCATTTCAGTGTGAAATAACCACTTTGCCCTTGGTTCATTTCTTTTCGGGTTAGGCATTCTTGCTTCATTTGCTTGGCTTATTTGGGTTTCATGGCTTCATGGGGAGTCATCTTAGTGCCTTAGGGATGACGTACATCTCTTGAGGCCATCTTGCTTCTTTTGCTTCCGCATTTTGGATTCGTTATTGGGTCATCTTTTAGTTCATCACAGGACACACTGGGTTGAAAAATCCAGGGTCATCACACCAATGATCTTACATTTCATGCCTAGCCGAAGTTTATTTGAAAAGAGCTTTAGATTTGCTTTTGTATAGCTTCTGCGATG